TCAGCCAAGCTTCACAACCATCATCACTGTGTACCACGTATTAAATTAGTTTGTTTAAACTTTAGTTGTGTGTGTGTGTGTGTGTGTGTGGAGATAGATAATATAGTCTTTTGTCTGGTAAAAAAATTTCCCTGGAACCTAACCCCCGCTCCCCTTTACATTAATTCTTATGGGGAAATTGGATTTGCTTAACATCGTTTCGCTTAAAGTCGCATTTTTCAGGAACATAACTACAGCGTTAAGTGAGGAGTTACTGTTCTGTACACAAGGTATAAGACCCAGGTGAGGCTTTCATTGAAGTCACTTTGCACTGAATAGACACAGGAATTGCCACTTTCTGAAATTATGTTCTCATTATACTAGGGCAGAGTGGCATTTAGAATACTTCTCTGGGGCCTGTGTGGTAATTGTAAACCCTGCATTTCCTCAGTGTTACCTGTTAGCCTATCCCAGTAGTTGCTAATTCTAAGATGTGACCAGAGACTATTTATCAAAGTACCCCCTTCCTGTCCACAGCTCCAGCTTTTCTCTGTCTTTTTTAGCTTGCATGTTTTAAGACGTACTAGAGTTCACTGTACCCTGTGACCCAGTTTTGATTACTCTACCCGGTCTCATGTCTATACTGCACACTAAGCCCAGGTCTGTGGACTCACTGTTCTCAAGCCCATGCTTACGCCTCCACACTGCATTGTAAATCTGGGTTTCAAATTGCTGGACCCGGGTCTCATGGCCACGCTAACGTTCATACTGCCCTGTGCAGACTTTCTGACTCAGATCTGCGGCTTGGGCTGCGTCCGCTCTGCAAGACGATAGAACATGGACCTGAGTCACGGCAGGACTTGGGCTCTGACACATCCCCTTAGCAGCCTCTTTGGACCCGGGTTCTGAGTGCTCGCTGACCTGAGTCCGGCTGCTTTGCGTCTTGTGTCTGTGGTCAGGAGGAGGCAGGGCCTGGGCTTCGCATGCAGTGTAGACATACTCGTAGTTCTTGAATTGCTGCCAGGGCGCTGGAGCAGTGTGGTGGGTTCAGCCCTGTGGCTCGGAATGAGTGAGAAGTACCTCATATCCTCCCAGTGATCACCACCGGGGGGGAACGATAGCTCAGTGGTTTGAGCATTGGCCTGCTAAACCCAGGGTTGTGAGTTCAGTCCTTGAAGGGGCCACTTAGGGATCTGGGGCAAAATCAGTACTTGGTCCTGCTAGTGAAGGCAGGGGGCTGGACTCGATGACCTTTCAAGGTCCCTTCCAGTTCTAGGAGATGGGATATCTCCATTAATTAAATTAAAGAGAGGCCTAAAAGGCTCCTACAGAGTCCCATTGAGTCATCCACAGCCCGGAGGGGCTATGCTGTGGAGACTTGAGGATGAAGTGCATAAAACAGGAGGAAATGGGCATCCTCAAGGGTCCAGCGGGGGGACACCGTCTCCTGGAAAAAGAAAGAATGAGAGAAGTCCCTGGTTACATGGTGTGAAGTCTCACCAGTTAAAAGGTACATATTGTACATGAAGAATGTTTTTGCCTTTAACAGATCCCATCCTTGCTGAGATTAAAGCACTGCCCAAACGTAACCTTTGCTGGAGTGGACAGCCCAGAGGATGTAACTGATCACACTTATCAGGAGCTGTTTCACATGGGGGGGTTTGTGGTCTCTGATGATGAAGTGTTAGAAACTGTAACTTTAGGTGAGTCTTAATTACCCCCACCCCCTTTATACCCATGAAAATCGTTGGTATTTGTTGCAAGAGGATGATCATTACAGCACTGTAATAATTGTGACTTAAATAGAGCACAGGCTTATGATGGATATCTAGGGAAACACGTGGCTCTAGAAGACCTTGGCATTGGCAGGAGCCTGTCGAGAGATGTTGGTCAGTAGCAGATGCCAATATTCCCAAAGCCAGTCAGGATGGAGCATTTTTCGCCCAGAAGAGACAACTTGCCAGAGGCTTTTTCTTTCTGTGTATTGAATTTAATGCTTGTGAAAGGCATCAGATTGGCTTCCCTCTGTCCACAAAATGGGCACCATCACCAGTTTTCCTTAACCATGACAATGCGAGATCATATCTAGGGCTGAGAGGGTAGTTCAGTGTCCATGACCCGTCACGGGCATTAAGAAAGGGATAGACAATAAGACAGAAAATATCATATTGCCTCTATATAAATCCATGGTACGCCCACCTCTTAAATACTGCATACAGATGTGGTCGTCTCAAAAAAGATATATTGGGATTGGAAAAGGTTCAGAAAAGGGCAACAAAAATGATTAGGAGTATGGAACGGCTTCCGTATGAAGAGAGATTAATAAGACTGGGACTTTTCAGCTTGGAAAAGAGATGATAAAGGGGATATATGATAGAGGTCTATAAAATCACGACTGCTGTGGAGAAAGTAGATAAGAAAGTGTTATTTACTCCTTCTCATAACACAAGAACTAGGGGTCACCAAACGAAATTAATAGGCAGCAGGTTTAAAACAAACAAAAGGAAGCATTTCTTCACACAATGCACAGTCAACCAGTGGAACTCTTTGCCAGAGGCTGTTGTGAAGGCCAAGATTATAACAGGGTTCAAAAAGAACTAGATAAATTCATGGAGGATAGGTCCATCAATGGCTATTTGCCAGGATGGATAGGGATGATGTCCCTAGCTTCTGTTTGCCAGAAGCTGGGAATGGGCAACAGGGGATGGATCACTTGATGATTACCTGTTCTGTTCATTCCCTCTGGGGCACCTGGCATTGGCCACTGTTGGAAGACAGGATACTGGGCTAGATGGACCTTTGGTCTTACCCAGTATGGCTGTTCTTATGACAGCTGTGATGTCAGTTCATTCCAATGAGAATGGGAGTGTTTTGTGGTGTGAACATCTGTACACTAGAAACTAGGCAGAGATTCCCACTAATTGATTTTACATAGGCCAAAGGACAGTGTTTAGTTGGTAATGTCTTTTGGCCGATACCAACCTTCTCTGGATCCACTGGCGAGAAGGAGATGAAAGATGCCTCTGTTCTAATAACCCCTTGAACTCTCACTGAAAATAATACAAAACTCTTTTTGACTTTTTGCTCTTTAAGAACACGATAATGTGCCTTCTATATGTAGTAATACTTGGACATCTGGTTTGCCGACACCACCTGATTCTCAGACTCCATACTGAAATGTTTTATTCCCACAGGTCAGCTGAAGGAAATAGTTAAAACACTGGAAAAGCTGAACTGTCATGGAAAGTGGAAGTGGCTGCTTCACTACAAAGAAAGTAAAAAACTAAAAGAAGACATAAGGTAACAGTCAGCACGGATCTGTCAAGAACAAATTATGCCAAACCACCTTATAGCTTTCTTTCACAGGGTAACAAACCTTGTGGATGGGGTGGGGGGGCTGGGGAGCGGTAGATGTGGTATATCTTGACTTTAGTAAGGGTTTTGAGACTGTCTTGCATGACCTTCTCATAAACAAACTAGGGAAATGCAACCTAGATTTAGCTACTATAAGATGGGTGCGGAACTGGTTGGAAAACCGTTCCCAGAGAGTGGTTCACAGTCAAGCTGGAAGAGCGTAACGAGTGGGGTCCCGCAGGGAGAGATCAGTTCTGGGTCCAATTCTGTTCAGTATTTTCATCAATGATTTAAATAATGGCACAGAGAGTACACTTATAAAGTTGGCAGATGATACCAAGCTGGGAGGGGTTGCAAGTGCTTTGGAGGATAGGATTAAAATTCAGAATGATCTGGACAAACTGGAGAAATGGTCTGAAGTAAATAGGATGAAATTCAGTGAGGACAAATGCAAAGTCCTCCACTTAGGAAGGAACAATCAGTTGCCCACATACAAAATGGGGAATGACTGCCTAGGAAGGAGTACTGCAGAAAGGGATCTGGGGGTCATAGTGGCCCACAAGCTAAATATGAGTCAACAGTGTAACACTGTTGCCAAAAAAGCAAACATCATTCTGGGATGTATTAGCAGGATTGTTGTAAGCAAGACACGAGAAGTAATTCTTCTGCTCTACACTGCGCTGATTAGGCCTCAACTGGAGGATTGTGTCCGGTTCTAGGCGCCACATTTCAGGAAAGATGTGGACAAATTGGAGAAAGTCCAGAGAAGAGCCACAAAATGATTAAAGGTCTAGAAAACATGACCTATGAGGGAAGATTGAAAAAATTGGGTTTGTTTAGTCTGGAGAAGAGAAGACTGTTACAAGAAGGAGGGAGGTAAATTGTTCTTGTTAACCTCTGCGGATAGATCAAGAAGCAATGGGATTAAATTGTAGCAAGGGAGATTTAGGTTGGACATTAGGAGAAACTTCCTAACCATCAGGGTGGTTAAGCACTGGCATAAATTGACTAGGGAGATAGTGGAATCTCCATCATTGGAGATTTTTAAGAGCCAGTTAGACAAACCTGTCAGGGATGGTCTAGATAATACTTAGTCCTGCCTTGAGTGCAGGGGACTGGACTAGATGGCCTCTCGAGATCCCTTCCAGTCCTACGAGTCTGAGATTCTAAAGTAATGACAGCACTGGCTGGCTGGTTTCCCAAGGCTTGTCTACACGGTGCTGCAGTGTGGACTACAGGGGTGTGGTTTCTAGAGCACTCTGCCTTATGTAGCCTCTGCTGGCACGAACTACAAGATCTCTTGTTTGTGGGGATATAGTCCTATTTCAAACAGGACTACATTCATGCACATTAGGTACCTTTAAGACCACGCCAGCAAGGTCTATGGAGAAGTCTGAGCGCAACATGTTAGAGTGCTCTAGAAATCACACCCCGGAGTCCGCACTGTGGCACCTTGTAGACCAGGCCCCATCAGATTCATTTAGCTTCCAGCCCCTCTGCATGGCCTTTTATCAGTTGTATGAGTGATACAGCCTGACATCACAGTCTTCAGAAAGTCCAGTACGGACTGACAGGGCTAGTTAAGCATCTAAAACTTTGTCTTGGTCCCTTATTGGACTGATTAGAGGGTTTTAAGTTCTGCTCATGTTCCTTTATGTTTATGTGAGCAATTTTTTGTTAGACAAGGACCAGTTCCAGCAAGTTTATAATTAAAATCTTAAATCCAGACCATCTATAAATCAAGTAAAGGTTATAAAAAAATCATCTATCGGGGGTAGCCGTGTTAGTCTGTATCCACAAAAACAACAAGGAGTTCGGTGGCACCTTAAAGACTAAGATTTATTTAGGCATAAACTTTCGTGGGTAAAAAACCCACTTCTTCAGATGCATGCTGAAGAAGTGGGTTTTTTACCCACAAAAGCTTATGTCCAAATAAATCTGTTAAAAAATCATCTGATACAGATTAGCAAAACCACTTCTTTAATCGGTTAAACCTGGGGAGTGTGAAAAAAAGGCCTCATTCAGTGAAAGCATACACACAACGGTGGTAAAAGAGATTATGCTTCCAAAGTCAAGCACTCTCGAGTTAGAAAATGCCAGAATTAAGGTTGCTTGTGCATATGGGGATAGTCTTTAATTAAATGATCACATACTATCTTTCCACCAGACCTGCCTCATCCAGTGCACATACAAACTGTGCAGCTACACTGAAAATAAAGTTATATTGTGTAGGTAATTATAAAGCTACATGCTGTACTGGAGTTACTGGCATTGGGCCAGATCCTGAAGTCTTTATTGAGCAAAGCTCCCATTGAAATCTTTGGGAGCGTTACCTGTGGAAGGACTTCAACGTTTGGTTTATTGAGGGCTGTTTGGAGTGGGTTCTGTTTTTTTCAGTTGATATTCAAAAGGAAATTATTAATTTTACAAATTTCCCTTAAGTGGTTTCAGATAAAGTGGATTGGACTGTATTATTATTAAACTGTCAGATCAAATTAGGCTCAACGTAAGTTTTGTAAAGGCAGAGTTTTACAAAAGCTAAAGTTAAAGGGACATTGTCAACCTGAAATCTAGTCGGTTTTCAAAAAAAAGAGTTCCAAGTATTTTGTGGTCCTAGGTCAGCCACTAAGTTTCCGGAATAATGTTTGTGGCTTTGTGTTTTTTTGTTGTTTTTTTTTTAAAAACATTTCCCCCTGTTGCTGTGTGAAAGACTCACACAAACAATGAGGGGACTTGACTGTGCCAGGAAAACAGTGACACCAACCATTCAGGAAGTACTGTCAAATGGACAAAGTTATGCATGCTGGAAAAAACATCTCGATCAGTCATTTTAGGTGTTACTTGTAAGTAGGGTGACCAGACAGCAAGTGTGAAAAATCAGGACGGGGGTGGGGGATAATAGGAGCCTATATAAGAAAGAGACCCAAAAATCGGGACTGTCCCTATAAAATCGGGACATCTGGTCACCCTACTTGTAAGACCCATACGTTTTTTAAAAAGTGATTTGTTTTAAAGTTTACAATGTCCATTTAATAGTATTGCTTCCATGTTTTTTTTAAATGAAAACAGTTTGGATTTGAACATTCCCCTGCTGTGTTTTTTCCTGCTAGTGAGTGAGACAGAAAATGAAACTTACTAGAATCAAAGGTGAAAACTGAGCAGTCTGTTTTCACTGCCCGAGCAGAGAGAAGTACAGAAAGGAAAATTGGTGAAAAGTAAATATATTTTTAAAATTCTTTCACCTTCGGCGACCTAACGCGTGAACACAGGGCAGGAAATGTGATTGGTCATTGGACAGTGCGTCCCTTTGAATCAGAAACTTTGGGTCTCCGACGTCTGCACTGCAAAAAGAACAAAACAAAGGCCACGGCCGCAAGTCTGAGAACCTGGGTTTACAGACTCGAGCTCGCACTCCAGTGATAAACAGCCATGTAGACGTTCCCGCTCGGGCCCAGGTGGCTTTCAGAGCCCGGGCTCTTGCCCTAGTGGGAGCATCTAGGCTGCTATTTTTAGTGCCGTAGCGGGACGCTCATTGCTGCAGTGTTTTATTTGCAGCATGGACGTACCCTCACTGGGCTCTCTCTTCAGAATCTACTAGACCAGGATCCTGCAGTGTGTAACATGTGTAGCGTTAGCTACATCGATGGAACCATTACTCCAATTAGACTCAAGCAGCCCTTCTCAAGTCCTGTTCCGGTGCTGGTAACAAGACACCTGAGCTGACAATAACAAGCCACTCTAAGACCAGCTAAGCAGTGGTCAGCTTTGGGAGCTCCCTTGGGGAACTTTCTTGCAAGGTGGCGGGGTGGGGGTGAGCTGGAGTGACAATTACTAACGGAATTGCATTGGCACAGGTTAAAAAGCAGGAAAGTCAAGGGGAAAGGAACAGGTGTGTAGAACGAAGGCTTTAAATATTATCCAGGGTTATTCTGTCTGAACGTAAACTGACGCCATGATTCATGGGGTAAAACTTGTTTCTGTTCCAACAGGGTGGATTCGACTGCGCACAAAAAGAACTGGCTACTGAAATCGTGCCAGGAAGCCAATACCATTGAAGTTCTTCACTACCATCAGTGTGACTCCAAATCGTGCACAAAATCCGAGCATCTGAAGTGCTTGTTGAACCTGCAGGTTCAGCAGATCAGTGCTAGGTTTGCTGTGTATCTCACAGGTAAGAGCTGAGCTCAGGACCCCACGACTGATTTGTTTTACAGTAGCACCCCTTAGCCCCAGTCGGCATTGCGGCTTCATTGTGCTGGCTGCTTTACAATCGGCAAATAGACAGTGTCTGCCCTCAGATTGTTTATGTGCTAACGAAGGACAGGCACGGTAGGAGGGTGTGAAACACAGCACGAGGCCAGGGTAACAAAACAGGGATGTCCGGTTGCACATAATTCCGGTGTCCCTGGCCTCTGTTTGCCAGAAGCTGGGAATGAGGGACAGGGGATGGATCACTTGATGATGACCTGTTCTGTTCATTCCCTCTGGGGCACCTGGTATTGGCCACTGTCGGAAGACAGGATACTGGGCTAGATGGACCTTTGGTCTGACCCAGTAGGGCCGTTCTTATGGATTCTATTAAACATTCCCTTTTTATGACAAACAGATTTTGACATGAATTATAATTGGTGAAAATAAGAAAAGATTCCTTTGGGAGTTGAACCGTAATTAATTCAAAGCTTGTGAGGCAAGCATCTGTAGCGTCCTCTTTATCCTGATAAAGGGGGATGTGTAGGGTGACCAGATAGCAACTGGGAAAAATCGGGATGGGGGGTAATAGGCGCCTATATAAGAGAAAGTCCCAAAAAACGGGACTGTCCCTATAAAAATGGGACATCTGGTCACCCTAGGGATGCATCTATAGCGTAGGGGACCAGAAGCACAGACATCTTGTTGTCCTCCCAGCTTTGTTACTGTCTGGCTTTTTTACTGGAAGGATGCATCTGACCTCCGGGCTTCCATTCACCCTTCTTCCAAAGGAGCGTGATGATGTGATAATGCTAATACTGATCTGCCTTGCCTACGTGCTCTGTGAGCTTTGCGTAGCCGAGTGGTTGCTTGTAAGCACAAAGCGTTGTGCCGTCTTTCAGTCAAGGAGGGTAGAAAATAGATGGGTCCATGGACCAGGCAGGGCTAATAACTATACTTGGCGTAGCATACTCTAGAGTCCCTTCGCTCGGATAATCTCACAGTGCTTTACAAGCATTTAAGGAATTAAAGCGTAGAACAGCCTCGTGAAGCGATAGTGTTACCTGCTCTTTAGAGCTGGGGAAGCTGATGCATAGACCAGGGTCACACAAGGAGAGCAGGAATATGAACCAGGTCTCCCATGCCAGCGCCGCTCTCGGGACTGTTGTACTGTATTGCAAAATTTCACTTGCTCAGTGCACGTATCTTTTTTTGGTCAGGCAGATAAAATGTTGTTTCATTATCATTCGTCACAGTAAAGGGCAAGGGAATTTTCTGCCTGCTTTGGTAAATGTTGGGTGCCAATTTTTCAAGGCTGTTTAATGCACTGATGTGTTTCCTTATAATTGATCGTTTTATTATTGGCTGCTGAAATTTGCAAAACAGCAAATACTAATGGGAATCCGTCACTTCACCAGGGAGATGAACATGAGGAAGGGAATACCTGCTAGTTAGACATGTCCGTTTGACCTTGCTGAGTTACTTGAGGTTTTCCATGAGCAAAGAGAACGGTTTCATCTCATCAAGGGAATTCTTCTCACAGCTGCTTTTCCATTGGCAGATAAGCCCAGTGTCAGCAGAGAGGTCTTCGAAAGCAAAGGGATCCTAGTCACGGATGTAAATAACTTCTCTGGAACGGTGCAGAACGTGGTTGCCCCATTTCAAAGCAGCTATTGGTAAGAGCAAATGAGTGCTTACAATGTGAATCCCTCTATCAGGAAGTGCGCTAATGCCCATGCTGGGAATTGCAGAAGCAGCAAATCTAGTAACAGACTTCTCAATAATAGAGGGAATTGATCAGTGCTCTGTGGGGAGAGAGTGGAGTCCTGGAGTTTAGAAAGCAACAGAGGGTCCTGTGGCACCTTTAAGACTAACAGAAGTATTGGGAGCATAAGCTTTCGTGGGTAAGAACCTCACTTCTTCAGATTCAAGTAATGGAAATCTGTGCATCTCTCTCTATCAGTGTTATAGAGGGCGAACAATTTCTGGGTTTGCCCTGCAGAAGCCTTATGCAGGGTAAAACAGATTTATCTGGGTTTAGACCCCATTGGGAGTTGGGCATCTGAGTGCTAAAGACAAGCACACTACTGTGAGCTGTTTTCAGGTAAACTTGCAGCTTTGGGACAAGTGATTCAGACCCTGGGTCTGTGCCAGGAGCCAGACAGGGTGCTGGAGTCCTGAGCTGGCAGGGAAAACAGAAGCAGGGGTAGTCTTTGCACATCGGGTGGCAGCTCCCAAGGGGGTTTCTGTGATCCAACCCATCACGAAGTGAGGTTCTTACCCACGAAAGCTTATGCTCCCAATACTTCTGTTAGTCTCAAAGGTGCCACAGGACCCTCTGTTGCTTTTTACAGATTCAGACTAACACGGCTACCCCTCTGATACTGGAGTTTAGAATTACTCAGATGAGGCGGATCTAGCCTGTTCCACAAGGGGGCGATAGGGCATTACAGCTTGTCATTGTCTTGTTCTTTTCCTCCCAGTCACTGCAGGAGCTTGACTACTCAATGGCTCCATCTGGTGCTTTGTAGCTAAACCCTTTGTGTGTCCAAGACCCAGGAGCTGGGACTCCCGAGTGCTGCTGTCTTTTGCACTAGTGCTTTGCATCAAGGGCTAGGGAGCCACAGCCGAGCCAGGGATTGCTCGAGTGGCAGCTGCTTTCCAGCAGCTGAAAAAGGGAACAGCTGCAGGGTCCAGAACGCAAATAAAGGCATCGTAGGGCTCCGGAAGGGAACGTGCTCGCTTACCTGCCTTGTCATGTGCTCACTGTTGACTCCAGTGCAGTTTTTTAAAGCTTTGAGGTCAAGGCAGCGCCCCTCATACCCAGCCTGCATGTTTCCAGTGGTCAGCGGAGTATCTGTGCTTCCCTCGGTCAGAGAGTTGAGCCTGTCGAAGGGCAGTGCTGACTCTTGGACTGCGCACAAATAAAACGGGTACAGCGAAGTTGTATTAGCAAACCCTTCCGCTAGGCTCTTGTCTTCTTCCTGAGAATCCCAGTCTGCGCCCCTTGTTCTGCAACACTTTGCCACGCAAGCCGCCTGGCCTCCCACCTCTTCTGCACCCCACTGCTCTCCTGCCCCTGCATCTCTTCCTCCCCTCGCCACCTCTCCAGCTCCCTGCCACCAGGGCCTTCCCTGCCTAATTGTCTTGCGGCCACTGTCCTCCTGATTGCTCCCCACTCCTCCCCCAGTTTAAAAACCAGGATCAGCAGGGGGTCTTGATGAAAGAACTCTGTAAGACTATGCAACCAAAAGTCAGGCACTTGTTAGCTTGAACTCTCTGATTATTTTGGTGCGCATGTAACGCCGCAGGGCTTAGCTTCACTGCTGTGCTAGCAAATGAACTCCTGGAGCTAGCGTAGCTCTGCTGAGCGTGCGCACGCTGCAAGCCGCTGGAGCGGCAGAGTGACTGCGTCAGCTGAGTCCCTGCTGGCTCACTTGCTCCAGCGGGAGCCGCCGTCGAGCATTAAACCAAGGCCCACTCCTCCCGGACAGACCAACTAGCTCATGTACAAAGCACCATTTCCCAGGAGCTAGAGATTGGGGTGACAACTCACGCTAACACTGCAGTGTAGATAAGCCCTTAGCACAAACCTGGTGTTAACATGCAGGTTGTTAGTGCACAGACCAGTGGTTCTCAACCTGTTTATCACTGTGGGCCGCAGGTTGATAACCACAGCCCTTCCCCCCTCCCCCCCTACAGTTCCCTATGCCCAGCGCCTGCCCCCCAGAGAACCCTCCACAGAGGGGACCAGAAGGGGAGCCCTGGGAGGCAGCTAGAACCTGGGACCCCACCGTGGGGAGCCGGACCAGGACCCCGTGGCGTGGGCCGGGCAGCCTGACCCCAGGATCCCGCCACACAGGGCCGGGCAGCTGGGACTCCTGCGCCGGTCCAGGAGTGGCGCGCCAGAGGCAGGCCGGCAGCCGAGTCCCTAGGTGCAGAGCCCCATCTAAAAGCTGGCACCCCACAAACCTCTGGTTCCCAGCGTCCTCCACTCCCTCACAGCCCAGAGACCCACTCACCAGCCCCCAGGTGGCAGGAGCCCTCCCTGAGCCTGCCCTGCCCCCTATCAGACCAGAGCGGCAAATTTTGAATTTTTTTAGCGCACAGCTGGGCCAAAGCTGCGGGCTATTTGGGCCACATGCAGCCTGTAGGTTGAGAACTGCTGGCACAGACTTTCCAGGGATGAAGGGTTGTCATGGTAATTATACAGTGGGGGGGGGGGCTGCAGCGTGTTCCCCTTGAGCTCGGCTGGGACAGCAGGTGTGGAATAGGAACAGCCTCTCCCTTGACAGCAGACAGCAGCCTCTGCTGAGCTGAGGGCCCGTTTTGCTGGCTGCGATGGTCAGGGTGGCAGGAATTGAGTGAGGGGGGTTGTCGTGCCCTGAATGGAGACCTGGAATCCAGCTCACCCTCCCCTACACTGAGCAGTGGAAAGAGAGGGATTGGGGGCAGGGGTGATGAAGCCTGCACTACTGTGGCCAAGCAGAGACAAGCTGCACCCCCCTTTCTCCTACACTCCCAAGGAGAAAAAGGGATGTGGGGTCAGAGCCCTTTGTGGGCAAGGGGGGAGCCCTGGGCAGGGAGAATTGAGCAGACTGCCTGAAAATGTTTTCCCATAGTTTCAGAGTAGCAGCCGTGTTAGTCTGTATCCGCAAAAAGAACAGGAGTACTTAAGGCACCTTAGAGACTAACAAATTTATAGAGCATAAGCTTTCGTGGACTACAGCCCACTTCTTCGGATGCATACAGAGTGGAATAAATATTGAGGAGATATATATACACACATACAGAGAGCATAAACAGGTGGGAGTTGTCTTACCAACTCCGAGAGGCCAATTAAGTAAGAGGGAAAAAAACTTTTGAAGTGATAATCAAGCTAGCCCAGTACAGACAGTTTGATAAGAAGTGTGAGAATACTTACACGGGGAGATAGATTCAATGTTTGTAATGGCTCAGCCATTCCCAGTCCTTATTCAATCCTTTGTTGATTGTGTCTAGTTTGCATATCAATTCCAGCTAAGCAGTCTCTCGTTGGAGTCTGTTTTTGAAGTTTTTCTGTTGTAATATAGCCACCCGCAGGTCTGTCATTGAATGGCCAGACAGGTTAAAGTGTTCTCCCACTGGTTTTTGAGTATTATGATTCCTGATGTCAGATTTGTGTCCATTAACCTATGATCTTCAACCTATCCTGAAAGATGATCCTTTACTCTCACAGATCTTGGGAGACAGACCTGTCCTCGCTTACAGACAACCCCCCAACCTAAAGCAAATACTCACCAACAACCACACATCACTGAACAAAACCACTGACCCAGGAACCTATCCTTGTAACAAAGCCCGATGCCAACTCTGTCCACATATCTATTCAAGTGACGACATCATAGGACCTAATCACATCAGCCATACCATCAGGGGCTCGTTCACCTGCACATCTACCAATGTGATATATGCCATCATGTGCCAGCAATGCCCCTCTGCCATGTACATTGGTTTAACCGGAACGTCTGTACGGAAACTAACTAGGTGTCTCTTCTCAGACTTCAGAAATCATAATACTCAAAAACCAGTGGGAGAACACTTTAACCTGTCTGGCCATTCAATGACAGACCTGCGGGTGGCTATCTTACAACAGAAAAACTTCTCTTAATTGGCCTCTCAGAGTTGGTAAGACAACTCCCACCTGTTTATGCTCTCTGTATGTGTGTATATATATCTCCTCAATATTTATTCCACTCTGTATGCAGCCGAAGAAGTGGGCTGTAGTCCACGAAAGCTTATGCTCTAATAAATTTGTTAGTCTCTAAGGTGCCACAAGTACTCCTGTTCTTTTTTCCCCCATAGTGAGACTCTACTGGAGGTACCACCAGCTGGTAGTTTCAGTCATTTGACCAGATGCCTGGATGTTGTTCCGCTTTGATAGTGTGGTTAGCCCACGTAAACGTATAGAACATCCTTCCTGTCACACAGCATAGAGCGGGTAGCCGGTGCCATGGAAACAGCTACTAAACACTATTCGTGAAACTTCATGTGTTGCAGGTGATGAAATTCAAGGACAGCACCGGTGGTTCCAGTGACAAAGAATGAAGCTTCTGTGAAAATAGTTTAGATAAAGGTAACTTGCTGGGGTTCTGCTGTTACAGACTAAAGCTCTCGGCACCAAAGGCAGAGGTAGTAGTTTTCCCTTTTTTAGTAGGATGTTAATTATTTGAGGGTAGCCAATGAGTATTAGTAGAGGAGCAGATGCACCCCACTCCAGCTGCATAGGAAGAGAGCTATTTTAATGTATACAGTATTTTAAATTATTTGTTTTCTGAAGTTAGTACAGCTGCATATGGAAACAGTAGGGGGAAGAACAGTTTACTTGAAGCTTAGAGATGTTAGTCCATTTTAGCAAGTGCTTTTTATAAATGCGTGTTTATGTACATAAGATACACAACATGCATGTGGTATATGAGCAGCAGGATTTTTGTACATTTTCAGTGTGTTCAAGATTACTTCTCCAGATCACTAAGTCTGCGACTGGTCAATCAACACTACATTAAGTTCTCACTGGTTTTCTAATGGTACCATTTGACTTGTGGGACTTCTGTTTTCCACTAGATGGAACTCTTGTAAATAGCAGAATGTCAGGATTCTGGAACAAAAAGCATATTTATAGTATTCTAAAAAACTAATAGATTTTAAAAGGAAACTTCAGCACTCAAACAACATTTGTAAGATACTTAAGGTATCTACTGGGAGGAAGTGTTTTGTAACTAATCATTTTTTAAAATAAAGCAGACGAAAAATAAAGCTGTTGTGTACAGGATGACTTTGTATGATGTTTGACTAATAAAACAAGACAATTCAAAGTCTCGTGCATTGCTGTTGGTTTAGGACTTTACCAAAGCACTCAAACTTTCTCCCCTGTAAATGAGTATAGCTCCCCCACCTCCCCCATACAAATCATTCTGGTGAAGTGCATTGACAAATGGAGTTGGGCGGGAAAAGAGAAATTCCACGTCTTTAGCAGGGCTGTAATGTTTCTTAGCTGCCGGCTCGCAGGATCAACGCTGCGGTGTGCCAAAGAACTTTGGCCAGGTCCAGAAGGGCCTTATTGATAGGGAAGGTTCTCTTTGCTGACGTAGAGATATGCAGGATACCAAGCAGCTTGTGCTGTTGCTCTTTCACTTCCTCCAGAGGCAGGGTTGGCTCCCGGCACCAGTGCAGCAAGCAGGTGCTTGGGGCGGCCGACGGAAAGGGGTTGAGTAGAGTTAGACAATAGTTCTAGGAAAGACCTGACTTTTTCCCCTGCACTGGGCAATGGAGTGATCCTACCCTTCCTGGTGTATTTAGTGTCTCCAATGAAAGTTCACTCTTCTAGTCCTTTGTCATGGCAGGGTGCTGCCCTGCCCCTGCCTGGCTGTGGTTTTGGATGGCTCATATAGTCTGCAGAAGTCCATGAATCTCTCACATTCCATGATTAAAAGGGTGCTAGAAGCAAGGGAAACCAAGTTGAGATGGAGTTCTAAGCCTACATCTTTCAAGTAATAGTAGTCCAGGTGGGCACCTCTCCCCCCAATCATACCTTAAAAGATGAAGGATTTCATGAGGAAGATACTCCTCATGGTATTGCAGGGCAGGGAGAAGACGACACTTCCCACGGAGGACACCCACATGAAGCAAACACTATACTCCGATACTATTGATGTAGGCTTCTAGGGCCATCCCCTACTCCTTCCCCAGTTGTGGGGAGAAGGGAGAGGAGAGCACTAATCAGACATAGCTTAAGAAATAATCCTCTTCACTTAATACCTCCAAACAGGAGTTGAGGCTGCAGCCAGACAGCACTTATGAAAAAGGTTTCATGCCAAAACCACTAGCTGAGAACCATGAGGGAAAAAAAGTTTCTTGGCAGCAATGGGAGAGTTCAGGGTTCTAACAACTCTAAAAACAAATTCTGGAGCACAGAATGGCCAAACTCCAGTTCACTGTTTGAAGCTGCAAACTAAATGGACGGATAGCAACAGCACAGGAAACGCACTGTTTTTACTACAGTAACATTCCTTGTCCACTATCTATATCCTGAGCTTTCAGTGGAAGACAAATTAGGTCCATTAACTTACCTTTACACACTCCTCTGCAGTTGCATAGGTGACCAAAGGTAGGGAAAGGCAAGATTTACTCCTCCCATAGCTTGATCACCACCTAAGATTAAGACCAGGCTCCAAAAGCAGTTGAATCAGACAAGAGAGGAGACTCTGGCTGCTGAAAGGTGAAGAGTGTGGCCAGCTCTGACAGCTTCCAAAAAGAAATTAGTCTATTGAGAATAAAAACAGACTAGTTGGAGATCAATCTCTCCCCTCAGTTAGTGGTTGCGATGTGATGGTAAGAACTAACCACTCATGCAGGTTCTCAGGGTGCATTAGTTCAAGTTAGATGTGCGAGAATACATCTGGAAATGGCTCTTGCTCTACCAAGCACAACTGTTACTACCTACTTATTAGGCGCTAGAGGCTTCCAACCATGCACCGATCTCCAGAGAAGCCCTGTCTTCAAAGAGCACGGTAAGTCACTCTATTCCTTGTTCATCTCCACCACATCAATGGAGGAACGCCCACTTTTAGCACATTACTGGAATACCTAGAAACGGATTGGGAATGGAACGGACAGCCGGGTCCCTTGGTTTACAACTAAGCACATTAGTTTTATTGTGGTACTATGTCAGAAACAATCATTTCTGACTTTTTCCAAAAGCACTGCGAGGCATTTGAGAGGTACTGGTGAAACTCAGAATTTTGTTCCAATTTAGCATGCAGCAGTAGGGGGTCTTTGCACTTCTGGCTCGGTTGTGCAGTTGGCCAGTCACTAATGCCACGTGTTGCCTCCACAAGCATTTTGGCTCACCTTTAGGGCGGATAGCCAGCACCACTGTCTCAGTGTCACAGGCCCAAGGACTCCCTCCCTCCCTCAGGGGGTCCCACGGAAAGGCACATTAGCATTGTATGGTGCTATCGTGGGTGTAAGCATTGCAAGGCATTTTGGGGGGAGGGAAGGTCAAAGGTAGCAAGAGGTCAAAAGGGGAAAGGAGACTACGAAGGGAGGGGTGCGCACGCGAAGCAGAGCTTTGCGTCCCTGGAGCTGGTGTGTTTTGGGGAAAGCTAAGGTGGTCACAGAAAGCGTTTGGACTGGTACAAAGAGCACCAGGAACAGAGGGCCCTAAAAGAAACACCCCCAAAAGAACCCAGGACTTAAAAACCCTCCCGAAAGGGAAAGCAAGTCAGAGATTACAGCGGCCCCCAGAGGACCTGGGCCCAGGTCAGAACTCCCATCCACCCTATCCCCTCTTCTTCTTACATTACACCCAGGCTTGGCCAGCTGTGGGTAGAGTGTGTGTGAGTATGAAAGGGAGTTAGGGCTTGGGGCACGAACGCTTTTTTCCTTCCTCTGAGTGATGTGGCGAGCTCCCATCACCCTCCATTGTTATTTTAAAGCTTTATTAATAAAATAATAAAACTCAGTCACGTGGTGTATTTCATCATCTCCTCCCCTAAAAAACCCTGTGGCTTCAGCCTGATCACCTGCCGCCTCAGGCAGACTGGTAACAGAAATCTGTTACATCAGTGACAACCTCCTATCACTTCCTAACCTATACATCCACTGAGCGTTCTGGTTCAGCGGCCAGTTACCAAACCTAGGTCAGCAATTGCTTTACTACCTCCCATTGAGGTCTGAGTAGCCGTATAGCTTTAGTCCAACACGTTGTGCTGTACCCAGCAAAGCTTGTTCTGGTAAATGCAGGATTACTTTGTGTGAACGCTGAAATGAGAAGTACTAAGCAATCTGGCTAAAGTTTGAAGTACCCCCATCAAAAGGAGAGACCCGTGAATCTTTAAAACGGCCAAAGCTAGGCTTGTTAATGGGCATCAAGTTAGACAGGAGTTTGCAGTCCAGAACCAAGGTGATGCTGTGCCGTTTTCAACTGCAACAGTGGTACTTGAGGGGCAAATGAAAGTAGGCAGCCCCGGTGAGACTGGATAGAAAGTCTAGGAATCTGGCTGCACGCCAGCTTGAAACACCAAGCTGTCAAACTTCCCGCTTAGAGAGTGAGGATAGGGCCAAGTAAGGGCTGACGTGTTTAGCCCAGGTGCTACAGAGCCCTCCATGTATAGTGATTTATCTGCTCTACTCCCCTACTGCTGGTTAGTAGGGACAGATTGAATGTCCAGGAGATGGGCTTACAGCTTACATGGTCATCAGCTGCTCTGAAAGGAAGTGCACAGCAGCTTTGAAAGTCAAGCCAAGGATGTTTAAGTCCATTGTTTTTCCTTGTATTTGAATGGTTGGATTCCAAGCCATAGAAGCGTCCCTCTCTGGCAGGCATGCATCTTTTAAGAGCTCAAGCAGACGCTATCTGTACAAAGTGGAGTGAATCAGACCAGAGCAGAGGACTGGTTTCCAGAATTTGGCTTTACTTTGCAGTACAGAAATCATTTGAGCCTTTTCAAGAGACATCAGAAGCAGAGGCTCTGTCATATCAATACTGCAGTGCAGTTTGGTCCATCCAAAAAGCCACATGGGGTACAGAAAATACTTTCACATCATGCCTGCTTTGTAATTTGTTCTCTCAATTTTATTAGATTGACACACAAAGGAACCTTAGGCACAGTTGTCCCAACTGATGTAAACAGTTTTAGACGCTTAAGGGTGGGTTAGGTTCTGTGCCTAAAACTATGCCAACATTTGCTGCTACAATAGATGTGGGCTTTGTCCAGAATACAACTTGCCACAAAGTTAAGATTGATGGGAAAGACTTTAGGGATGCTGTCCACAATAATGGAGTGCTCAGTTTAGAGTTTTCTTGGTATCAGGTCTGAATGGCATCTGTCAAGTTCACTGATCCACCAGAAGCACATCATTGGGAAATGGTTTACAAATGATTAAAAATACAAAGGTAACGTATCAATGAGTTATTTCAGTTTGCACCAAAGTCTAGGTCTGCAAAAAAAAAGTTCAGTAGTCTGCTTTTTGCTTATAAGGTTAGTGAACAGTTAAATCAGTGTCAGTAATTAGCCAGATTCTGGACAGCAGCCCTACTAGAATGAAATTAACACATGATATCCAAAAGGGGAGCATTTACCAGTGCAGTACTCTTCAGTCTCTCAGATGTGATTACAAAAGCAGGCCTTACAATATTGAGTTTCATACAGTGTTCATTAAAGTTCCTTATATTCATATTAGCCGATTTAATTTCTCCTAATTAGACATTAGCTCATTACTGCTGCTCCTGCTCCCCATAGATATCGTTTTTCTTGCGTTTCATCTCTTCAAAGTCGAACTCTGATCCCATCATCCTCTTATAAATATCTTTGATGTCATCACACGTCGTCTCAAAGTGAGTGGTAGCATCATAGGTGCGAGAAATAAAGATCTGGAAAATAAGTTTTCAGGCTTAGTGTCTGGAGATTCTCCCCTTACATGGGCACATCAATTTGATTGTTTGCCATTTCATACTAACCTGGCTTTCGGTTCCCAAGTCAGTAGGTGCAAACAGATCACTGATGCTAACAAACCTATGAGAGAAGACATATTTCAGAATGCTTAAATGTTACCCAACCTCTCGAATCCCAGCACCTCAACGAAAGGTGAACCAATACAGGAGCCAGGTAACTTGTAATATGATCAAATGCCAAAGCCCTAGAGCAAGAAGTGCACATGAGGAGGTTTTTGGTGCTAGGACAGAGCATTGGAGCAGTTGTCTTGGATATAAGGAGTAGGCCGAGTAAATATTCCAGTAGGGGTGGATGCATGTGTCATTGGCCTTCTGGCCTCCCTCATCTGCCCCATGACCTCTCAAGGTCAGAATACAACC